GTCAGAGGTACCCTCTCGAGATCTCAACGGGGATATAGGTAATTGATCACGCTGAATCCGAATATGCTATTTTTATTCACCGAACACCTACCCTTCAAAACCCCTCCGGGGTGATATGAGCTACTCTTCTTCATGTACTTTTCTTTTGTTTTAGAGAATCTTCTTAAACCACATTTTATTGATGGCTATGAGAAATATTTAATAGTTTAAGATCAAGTAGAAACAGATCAATTTTATCAAGATGATATCGAAGATGGAAATGAAGGGACACGAACTCAAGTACTATTTGTTTTGAATTCTATCTTATTTCACAGTGTCTGTAATTTTTGCCTACACTGATAGAAATGAATTGATGAAATTTTAGACTACCACCAACGCTCCTCAACGAATATCGAACAAATATTTTTCAATCACTACTGATGATGATAACGCAATCAGAACTGATAGAATGACAAATGTATTATAAATGAAATCCAAAAAAGAATGGTAGTACGATATATTCAAAGTCGATCGATCACAAGTTGATGTAAGTTTCATGAAAAGAAAATATCTTTTTTTTGTTTTTAATTTTCTTATATATGTATAGACTGAACTTTTGGGGTGAATTTAAATTATTTCAAGCATTTTTAAATGAATGTGAATCAATTGGTATTTACTCCAAGTCTTCATGTTGTAGTACAAGAGCATCTTTACCTAAATGGGTTAAAGGTATTGATTATTTTCGTATGGATGGTAAGATTCTATTTATAATATTTTACAAAAGAAGATATCAGGTAAAGTCTATAATACATGATATCTTCATTGGAAGGCGAATTATTTGAAAAACTCAAACAACAGATAGTGAATCTGTTATACATATCTCAGTTGGTTCAGAAATGTCAGCTAACACATTTTGCGCGAATCATATTATACAAATGTTGCGAACATTGAAATTTTTGAGGGAGACTTTTCAATGCATTCGAACGGACTTCAGAACACTTTTTTCATTATTTGCATTTAACATAATCGTAAATTAAATGAAAATAAATCCTTCATAAGAAAGATGGATGCAAGCTAATTAGAAAGATATTTACGATTTGATTCAAAAGACTCAAAATTAGAATTGTGAATGAAATAAAATGCAGTATTTTTACATAATTATTCATCTTATGAGAGCAAAAGAAAAAAAATCGTAGTCTAATGTTTCTCTATCAATTAGAGAGAGAGAAAGAAAGCAATACATAATTACTCGCGATAGAATATTCAAGTCTAACAATAAGGGTGTGCATGTGTGGGGTTGAGGTGTGGATGTCGGGCGGGAACGTGTGTGTGTATGTGAGTGCGGGTGTTGGTGTATAGATATGGGTGTGAGTGTGAGTGAGTTTTCTCTTCATCTATACTCACACATCCACACCCACACCACATAGCACCATCGACACCCACTCACACCCTTTTTACGAATGAACAGAAAAGCTACAAGTTAAACCTTGCAAACAAAACTTGTAAGTTATACACTAAATGGATACACCCTTTTCTTGCAGCCACTTTCTCAAATCCTCTGTGAGTTTTGGCATGACTTCATGTTCTTGTGCACCATCAATTGTTGCTTTATTCCAGTCTGGACGATTTTTACAGTAGAGTGCCATACCAGGCTTTGGTAATTGATCGAATAGACCCAATCTCACTGCTATTAGACCAATAAATTTTGGGTTTTTCCCATACACCGGTGAACCACAATTACTGCAGAATGCACGTTCTACTATTGTGCCACTGTCTGTGTTCGGATCGTAATATAATTTTGGTTGACCTTGTATTTTAACATCTCCTTCTGATAAATAGAGATTGTACGATGCTAGACAGCCACCACTTTGACGACAATTTTTACAATAACATATACCTATATTCTCAGTTTTATTGAATGCATCTTGTGGAACAGAGACAGATATTTGGCCACACAGACATTTGCCCGATGTTGTAGATGCGGTCATTTTTTACTGATCTTATTTTCACGTCTGAAATGAGAGACAGTAGTGAGAATGGAGAGAACAAAATGAGAAACAAAAGGAGAAAGAATAGCAAAAGAAAACATAAGTGGGTATGTATTCTTTCTTTCACCAAATATGCGATTACTTCTTTGTCCGATTAACTCGTGTGTGTAAATACAGTACAAGAGAAACAAGACGCCTTTGTAGGCTTATTCTTATTTCTTTTTCTTTCCTTTTACCACTCGTAGCATACTTTTCCTTTTTCCTTCGCATCCTACTGTTCGCCACTACAACATGTCAATAAAGCTTGCAACTATCACACACGTTGAGATTCTCATTATTGGTGCTGATGCAGCGAGAATTACTGCTGCAAATGACTTGAAAAAGCAGATGTCACTTCCTGTCATCTTCTTCTTTTTTTAACATTTATTTTTATTGTCCCTATATGATGAGGTTGACAATTTTGTATAAATAAACAACAGAAGTGAAATATGAAGGAAGAATAATACGAGAAAATAAACAGCAAATAAAAGAACAAAAAAGGAAGGTAAAAATATGGATACGATAAAATTTAGGAGAAAAAGACGATAAAGAGTTTAAATAGGCTCTTACTAACGAGCTCTCTTATTGTATAAGGAATACAATAAAGAGTGGATAAGATGAAAGGAGAAAGACACATTTTAATGGAGTTAGTAAGTATATTAAGACTAATATATGAAATAAGAAGGAAAAAGATATATTTTAAATACAATAATACAAAAGAAATTAATGGGTTCCATCCTGTGAGTTTGAATCATCAACATTGTAGATTTGAGTTGTCAGCAAGTATTTATATATAAAATAATATGTTGGAAGAGATTCCTGTTTATAGTACCCACATCGCTGAGAATGATCTTTTAAGAACTCAAAAAGGTCATTCTTTGAGTGTTGTGCTCTTTGAGACAAGCGATTCAGGAATTTGTTATTTCTTCTCATGCCAATATTAAGGTACCAATTCTTTTGGGTAGATTTAGCAGAAAGGTATGCATTAAAAGTAAGATGGTACTGATATGCTTCATTCGAATTTTCAAGATGTTTGCTGAATTTAGTCCAATATTTATAAAGATAGTCGTTCAAGGTATATTCTTTCGATAGTATATAAACGGATAGATCATCCAACATATTTAGGTTATAAGTCAGACGTAGACCTGAGCAATAAACGTGTTCGATCATTCTTTGTTGTACTTCCGTATTAAAAAACCAACAGGAAAAGAGCCATATTATATGCGGGAGAGCATAAGCAGAAAATAATTTCCTTCTCAGTTGAATTAGATCAATAGGTATTTTCCTGAAGATGATACGAAGAGCATGATAGATGGGTGTGGGTGTGAGTGTAAGCTTATTTCTTTCATCCACATCCACACCTACCCACGATGCAATGCATGACAATGCTCCCTGTTGTTTTTATAGTTCTTACTTTTTACGGAAAATACAGGCATGAAAAGTTTGATGTCTCAAAAAACTCTCAAAAAAATGGCGTTCTAATTTTAAAACTATTCTTTTATTTGATAATAACGAAGATCAATTTAAGAAAGGACTCTCTCATGCCCTGTATCTTGACATAGTTTTTCAAATCCAAGAAAAACACGTAGGCTACAATGAAGCTCCTTCGAAAATGGCGGGATGCGCAATCAAAAAAAAAGCATAAACTGAGAAAAAGCGAAAAAGGTTTTTCACTATATCTGAGAAACTATATTCTTCAAGCAGAAAGTGACAGACATTTTTGGAAACAAAAACCAAGTGCCAATAAAAAGTCATGCTATTTTTGAAAAATTTGACTTCGTACTATCTACCTATACATTTATTCCAATTTTCATGTTTTTCACCAAAATCTCCTTTTTGTGTACTCAAAAAGTGAGTACACTCTAGAATCGGTCAGTGTGTCCGTCCGTCCGGCCGTTTACACGATAACTTTTGAAAACAGAGTTCAATCGCGATGAAATTTTCTACACAGTTCAGTCTTAGCAATGTCTCGGTCAAGTTTGAAGATGAGCATGATTGGCCGAGCCGTTCCTGAGTTATTGCAAAAATACTCATTTTTTCCTATGCGAAAATCGACCCATCCCCGCTTTCGTAAAAAACTTTTCCTATCGTACTCAAACAAAACCCCAACTATTATATACCATTCGATAAAGAATTTTATGAGCTACAAAGTGGTATATAAAACATAAAGAAACACAAAGGCTAACTCACCTATTGCCAAGATAATTAGACGGAAATAGGTTCTGTTTTCGTCTACTCTCTAGTGGATCCGGAAATGGAGCTCTACCTTCCGATCACGGACATGATACTTCGAGGGTTTTTGGGGCGAAGAACTCGAATCGGTCATCCATTTGCCTTGAAATACCATTGGTTGAGCAGGGACCAATAGAAATCAAGTTATAGGAAAA